CAAGTTTTTCTCCAAGATTAAGATTTTGGGTCTTAACAATCTTTTCTTTCAGTATCTTCATTTTTAAGACCCTGTATAATTCCATTCCAGCAATACTGGAGTCCCAGTATGGTTTCAGGAGTGTGGGTCACTTCACATTCAATTGATACTTTTCTTTTAAATAGAAATGTCTGAAGAATAATGTTGAAACTAGAATTGTAGCTTGTTTCCCTCTGTTAAAACAGTTGCATACAACATATATGTCTTACATGTCATATAAGTTATTGATTGCGGAATGACCCTCAAACATTCTTCAAAATATCTTCTTTTGGTTGCCACAGAAGAAACTTATACAAGTTTAAAAATAACATATGGGTAAGTAAAAACGATAACAGAATTATTTTATTTCTGGGTTCAATATTCCTTTAAGGGTAGCACAAATCAGCTGGAATGTAAAAGGATATGGTTGATCTTTGTTGACCAGGGATGGGGGAAGTTTTTGTTGGCCCATAGAATTACCACCCTTCACACCAGTAGCAAAGGTCCCGGTATGGTATAAATACCATTATTTCTAAGGACCAGAGGAAGAAGATACTATTATTCCCGATGATAGCTATAAATGTTGTGCTGTTCCTTGACTGTAGTACTTTAGCTACCACATAAGATCTGCATTTGTTTTTGAAAGATTTTAATATTAAAAACAAGAAGATGTAATTTTACTATATCAAAATCTCTAGTCATTGGATCTTAACAGTTTGAGTGGAGCCTTTCAGCAACCTTAGTCAGGGTAGATGCCATATTCGCAATTGCGATAAAAATAAGGCTGTGTGGGATAGGCATACAGTCAGTTCAAAAGGTTATACCATCTAAATGTTCTAGATTATCACATACTTTCTTAATTGGATTTTTTTTTTTTACATTTAGTCATTTAGCAGATGCTTTTATCCAAAGCGACTTACAAATGAGGACAATAGAAGCAATCAAAACCAACAAAAGAGCAATAATATGCAAGTGTCACAAGTTTTTAATAATTATTATTTTTTAATATTTAAAAAGTTAAATATATATTTTTACTATATATTATATAATATAATAATATGTAATAATGGTAATAATACACTTATTAACATATTATTATATTATATCATATAATAATATATAATATAATCATATTTTCATAAGTATATTATTACCATTATTGGGGGGAAAGTGAACTTTTTGATGTGTGAAAACAAATGGTGTAAAAAGGCTTGATAATTACTCTAATGTACCTTGCCATCCTTTATTTCATAAAGGCTCAGAAGTGATTCAGAGGTGTTTTTATTCAGAGGTGGGTTGTTGCCCTCTGAACTATTGGGCAGCTCATCTTATCTTCCATCAGGTGTTCTCTCAAAAGGTGCAGAAGGTCTGTTAAGAAGAGATGGATCTGTAACCAACCAAACAATGGTAGGGACAAATATGTTAATACTTAAAGGGGTCATATGATGCGATTTCAAGTTTTCCTTTCTCTTTGGAGTGTTACAAGCTGATTGTGCACAGATAAGATCCCTGAAGTTGCAAAGACTAAAGTCTCAAAACCAAAGAGATATTCTTTATCAAAGTTAAGACTCTGCCACGCCCCCCTAAAACGGCTCGTTCTAACACGCCCCCACATATCTACCTCACTATGTGGAAATATTTGTGTAATTTGCCGCCCAAATGTTCACGCAAAGAAAGAAGGCGTGGTTTCAGTAACTGCAGTTAGTGTTGAAGCAGCATGTCAGGGAGACGCTGTGTGTTTCTAGGCGAAAGCAAAAGCACTTTATTTGTCCTTCCGAAAGTAGATGCATTTAGGAATCTTTAAGATTACTTACAACAGAACAGCAATGCATTTTATGGACGACCGTTTCGTGAACCTAGGAGAGGATGTAATTCTGACTTTGCTATGACAATCTGGCGCTTCTGAACCAGCTACTGTTTTGTTATTAGTTTAAGTATTTGCTATTGACTGTTCAAATGCGGAGTTTTGCGTCGTGTGTGTGTGTGTGTGTGTGCGCGAGCGAGCGAGACAGAGAGAGCGAGCGCGGGAGAGAGCGAGCGCGGGAGAGAGCGCGAGAGAGAGAAAGAGAGAGAGCGAGAGAGAGAGAGAGAGCGCGCGAGAGAGAGAAAGAGAGAGAGAGAGAGAGAGAGCGCGAGAGCGAGAGAGAGAGAGAGCGAGAGAGCGAGAGAGTCAGCTGTCTTAACCATGGCTTGTGCAATCACTGTGTCTGTCACGCGACTCTGTTCCCCTTTCGGGCTTGAACTGATGGTAAAACTAATGAATGGATTTACTGTCTTTACATTTATTTTGAAAGATGAAACTCGCGATTATGGTAAGGGGCGTTACATTTCCGACGAGTGCTTGCGGTGTTCGGCCAATCACAATGCACTGGGTCAACTGGCCAATCAGAGCAGACTGCGCTTGTCGGAAGGAGGGACTTTGTAGAAAACGAAGCGTTTGAAAGAGGCGGGGCATAGAGGACCTACAATAATGTAGCAAATATTAACAGGAAGGCAACACAATACATTAAGAGCCAGGTCAAGGACAGACATGAGAGTCATGACTAACTATCACAAACATAAGTGTTGATTGTCCAGGTAACATCATACAGTATTAAGAAACGAGTGTATCAACCTTTTGGGGTGTTTTTGTAAATTCTGCTATTATTGTGTGCTGTAAATTATATGTAAACATCGGTTATGTGAAATAGCTTGGTCAGGGCAGTACTACTAAATAGAAAATAAAATAATTTTTTATGATCCTCCTTTTTAAAATATTTACATTTTGCAGATTTTATAAGGGGTATCTGTGTCATAACACTGCATCAGTTTTGCAGTTTAATTTTTTCCACCTGAATACACTGTATAATTGTTGATATTTTGCTTTTTTCTATTTGCTCAGAGGAGGGGTCACAAAGGCTTGGAGCAATCTTAGCATTTGCTACAGGATCTGATCAGGTCCCACCAATTGGATTTCATCCTCCGCCTTCTATTGCCTTTCACCATGACACAGAAACTCCACAAAGATTTCCAGTTGCAAATACATGCATCAACTGCCTTCGCCTGCCATTATATAGCACATATGGTGCTTTTAAAAGCAACATGGAATTTGCCAAACATAATACCCAGGGATTTGGCAAGGAGTAAGAGACACTTTTAAATGCTAAGATGTTAATGTTGTGCCAAAGTGTTCTTATTGAGGCATTTGTTTTAGTCTAATGACAACACTTTATTAAATAATTTTCAGCAATGTTAGAATCAAGCAGTACTTGTTTAAACATTAACTATAGAATTTAACAGTTTTCAACCGTTGCTGTTTTTACAAGCATTGCCGTAATGCAACATCTGTCAGAACAATCGCAATAAAGCACTTTTACTTTTCACTTTTACAAGTGCCAAAAACAGATCAATTCCATGATTTCCATCATTTTGTAATGGGTTAAATGTTTCCAGAATGTTTTCCAAGGTAGAGTCATTTGGGCGGTAAATGTTTTCAGGAACTATTATATTATTCCTGGTCTGTAGTTCAGGATCTGGTCTGTTTTCATTGATGTCAACATGTTCATCATTGTCCAAAACACCAGATATAGCTGTGTTGTTGATTCCAATATGACTAACAATACCCCTGTGCCATAACTGCAGAGGAGTTTGTCCTCTTTCAGTTGACAGTCCATGGTTATTCCACATGTCCCTAAATTCCCTAACTGCCCTCTGGATCCGAGGTAAGTAAATAAAATGCAAACAAAATACATGAAACTCACACAGAGAGTCTAGTATACCTTGGTCCTCCATGAAAGTGAACAAGTCCGAATAATAATATGAAACAACTCTGTTCAGCTCTGCCCATAAACGTTCGATCCGTTGATTATGCACACTACGGCCCGTAATGACACTTCCTCTATTTAGTCCTCTTCTATTTAACATGTAACATGCAACCTCAATGTTTTCCATGCCATGGTCGCATATAACCCTTGATGGCAATCCAAAGTTTTGAACCCGTTCTTGGAACAAAGACAGAACACTTAATGCTCTATTATTGTTCAG